TGTGTGTGTGTGAGTGTGTGTGTGTGTGTGTGTGTGTGTGTGTGTGTGTGTGTGTGTTTCTTACATGTTTCTCCAGGATGTTGAGGTTTTGTTCATCTTGTTCTGTCAGTGGTTTACAGCAGAGCTGTTGAGAGAGCGACAGACACCACAAGTCAAATAAATCACATAATTCATTACATCCTTCAGCAAACGACCTGCTCTGTTTCTGCCAGCTCTCTCTCTCTCTCTCTCTAGGGAAATGCTCCATTTGCTTTAGGGGTCACATTGTGACCTTTGACCCCACGTCTGTCTGCAAGAGTCCCAGCGAGACACTCAACACACACTCACACACATTTCCCACGAGACGCGGCTACTGATCTAATAGAGCGGATACTAAATCATGTGACACTGAAGACTGGAGTAATGATGCTGAAAATACAGCTGCGCATCACAGAAATACATTACAGTTTAACAGAGATTCACATAGAAAACTGTTTTTTTTAAATTGTATTAATATTTCATAATTTTTACTGTATTTTTGATCAAATAAATGCAGCCTTGGTGAGCAGACAGAAAAAATCATACCAACCTCAAACTTTTCAGAGAATTAAATCTTTTAAATCACCAATTTTAAACTAGACATGTGGAAAAGTATGCATTTTAACAAATGACTATGAATATTTATTATTAATTCAACATATAAATATTTTGGATTTTGACAATAATTGTCTTGGAATTTATGATTGAATGCAGGGTTATTAACATAAACTAAAACCATAAGAAACATACAATAAACATCAACTAAAATTAACTGAAAAAAAAAAACCTTAAACTTACACTTATTTAATTTCATCTTGTTGGCAAGGCAACATTTATTATTTTCGTTTAGTGTAAGCTGAAGTACTAAAATAACAACATAAAATAGTAATATATAGACGTATAAAAAAACTATTAAAAATATTGAAACTTTAAAATTCAAGTGAAAAAAAACCATAAAAATCTAATTTAAAATATAAACAAAAACTATAGTTTGTAAAAATAACACTGGTTGAAGGAGGAGAATTCAAAGAAGAAGCTCCTCTTTGATGTTGACAGCACTTTAAATGCGACGCATGTACAGATTTGATCATGCCGTCCAACAGATACAGAAATTCCTCCTCTTTAAGATCGACCCTCCTGAACCGTTCGCTCTGCAAACTCTCTGTACGAGCGGCTCTTTACGTGTGAAGCACAAGCGCAGGTCGGGTGTGTAATACGACGCTCAGAGTTCAAACTACTTCACATTTGACCCCAATTGTTGCTGCTGCAATTTTCAAGCAGAGCAATGATTGCAAGACAATTTGCACGATGTGTCATTATGTGCAAAACAACAAAACGGACGTGACATTTCTCTATTTTCCTGCCATCTTCTATTTTCCAACTTGCTAAGACTCTCTCAACACGTCCTCGGTCTGATCCGTCACAATCGATTCTTTTATGACGCGCAATAAAGCGTCTCCCCTGCACTCACAGATCTCATAAAATCATAAAGTTTTATCACTCAATTAGAAATAAACACTTTAATTGGACTAATGCTGCCTCTAAAACCGTAACATTAGGCAGCGCATTAAAAATAACGAGCTATAACGAATTTCAGATGATTCAAAGAAAGGAATCGCACGATATTCACTGAATCACTGATTCAGAGGTGAGAGAGAGAGAGAGAGAGAGATCATTACAGCACTATTGTGTGTGAAATTACAGCAGAACTCACCAAAATCAGAGAGATCACCTTCCCTTCATCACGGTCCACCAGAGGAATGATGAGCGCTGAAAACACAGAGACAAATCACTGCAACTTAAAGCCATAGTTCACCCAAAAATGACAATGTGCTGTTAATTTACTCACCCATCCGAGACGTAGGGCTTTTTTTCTGAACAGTAAAGAAGATTTTAGCTGAAATCGTGCTCCTTGGTGATTCATGAAATGCAAGTCAATGGGTGCCGGCACTTTGAGAGTCAAAAAAGCGCATACAGGCAACACAGAATGAATCCCTGTGGCTCCTGATGATATTTTGAGATCTTATGAAGCGAAACAATCAGTCTGTGCAAGAAACTGAACATTATTTAACACATTATTACCTGTAATCAAGAGCCCCAGGTCAACAGGGAAATCTGATTCTTTTCTGCAAACTGATTCTTTTGGACAGTTTGATTCAATGAACTGGTTCAGTTCACTAGTTCGTTTATGTAATAATCATGCAGTGACGTCACGTATACACAATTATATGATTAAAGCTCCCAATAATGATGTCAAACGTGGATGTTTTATGTGTCTAAAGCATATAAAGTGAATAAAGTCGTCTTCATCAGCTCATCTTTATACATAAACAATGAGAAACCATAAAAACGTTCAGTTCTCCGCTTCATTCAAGTGTTGGGTTCACACATACGCACATCAGCGGCTCACCAGTGTTCGGTCCGAGTCGAACTGTTTCCTCAGTTCAGTGTCTGTTGGAGGAACTGAATCAGTTCATTCATAAGAGAATCAGATACGCCGGTGTTTCGAATCATTTCCAGTCACAGTGACCGTCAGGCATCTGAAAGTGAGTTCTGTTTGAGTAACTTGTAGATCTGTGCTGCTCGAGCCGCGAACTGATTCAGATGATTCAGTCCGATTCAATTAACTGATTCAACTAGTTCACTAAAAAGAACCGGTTCAAAAGAATGATTCATTCACAAAGTGAACCGTTGGCCTGGGGCTCTGGATTACAGGTAATAATGAGGTAAATAATGTTCAGTTACCTGCACTAACTGATCGTTTCGCTTCATAAGATCTCAAAATATCATCAGGAGCCACGGGGATTCATTCTGTGTTGCCTGTATGCGCTTTTTTGACTCTCAAAGTGCCGGCACTCATTGACTTGCATTGTATGAATCACCAAGGAGCACGATTTCAGCTAAAAATCTTCTTTACTGTTCAACTGAGAAAAACAGTCTCCTACATCACATACGGCCTGAGAGTTACACACACACACACACACACACACACACACACACACACAGTCACTCACACACACACACACACACTCACACTCACACACACACACTCACAGTCACTCACACACACACTCTCTCTCTCTCTCTCACACACACACACACACACACTCACCTCGTTTGTGGGCCGGCAGCGGTGCGGTCAGCGAGCCGGTTTGGTTCTGGTGGAGTTCTGCAGACGGCAGGCCGGAGCACTGCAGTCTCTTCTGCTGCTTCACCGCGTCTCTGAAACACAGACATGAGCAAGCTCTGAGAAATCACTTCACAATCTGACTTTATTCATTTTAATGAATGGACATTTAATCCCACAACAGCCAAGCATAAGTTACCATGTTAAATTAACACTAAAATAACACACAGCCAGCCTGGATCAGTTACTCCTTTTATTTCTGCAGTATGTACAGCATTTCTGTGTGTTCTACACACAGTACACCGTAACCCACAATGCAATGTTCTCAACTTGACCTTCCATTTCCAGTGCAACGAATGAACCAGACACAATCTCTTTCTTGCCTCATTATTTGATCAAACATTAAGACATTTACACACAAAACTGGACTGAAATGCAATACAGCATTTTAACAAAGAAACTATTCATTGCTCATCTACGTTAAATATTATTCACAGATACAACTTTAGATTTGAATAATGTATAAATAAATGTTTTTAACAACTAGTAAAATTATCATCAACTAAAATGAATATGTTTCATTGTTAGTTAACTAATGTAGTTACCTATGCAGCCTTATTGTAAAGTGGATAAAAATCATAAATTTATGTTTATTTATTTGGCATGCACTTTCATCCAAAACAACTTACAAGTAACATTACAAGCAATTTATCATAAGAAATCAAATTAAAAATAACATTTCATAACATATATTTATTCAGTTTATATTTTATTTTTTATTTTATTTTATTTTAATGTGTTTTTATTTATTTAATGTGTCAAATCAGTTCAAAATGAGTTAAAATGAGTACAATAAATGTAAAATAACTACAGTGCAAATTGAGCAAATTAGTATAAAAAATTAAAATAATGATTACAAAAATTATCAATAACATAAAAATGATACATTTACATTTATTTATTTGACACTCGCATTTTACAATAAAATATACAAAAACCTAGTAAAACTACTAAACTGAAAACATTTTTAATTAAAATGCATTTTGCTACAAAAATGTAATTAATTAAATGGCATGTAGAGACCTGTGTGAACAACATAGATTCATTAATCATATGAATCAGTGAATCTATTTGAATCAGGTCACTGAAATGAACTAATGTGAGCTAAAACGCAGTGATGGAGTGTTTTGTTGCTATTTTTATGTAGAAACGAGCTCATCATTGTAAAAGTTGCTTTATTTCCCCGGTGTTTGACTCTGTTGTTACGATCTCTGCAGGGAATTAAAGAACATCAGCCAGAAAGAATCAGTAAAAGAGGTATCTGTTCCACTTTAAATGGCTTTACAAAGAAACACTGACGGTATCCCATCATGCACTGCTGCTTTACAGCCAGAGCCATTCATCTGGTGAAAACCAATTTACATCCTGTGAGTGTGTGTGTGTGTGTGCGTGTGTGTGAGAGAGCGTGTGTGTGTGTGTGTGTCAATCTGTCATCACGACTGTCCTCCTGTTCTGCAGAAGGGTGGAAAGTTTTCCAGATTTCCGGAACATTCTCCAGGAGAAAAGAGAAAGAGAGAGAGGGAGGGATGACAGTTTTCTCACCCACACAGCAAACTAAAGTCCTGTTCCACGTCAGTTCCCATGACAACATGGATATGTAGCGTGATTAGACACTGGACACACACAAACACACACACACACACACAGACACACACAGACACACACAGACACACATACACACACACACGTTCACACGCTCATCTAAATGTGGACACTGCATAGCCACACTAACCCTAACAGAAAACTGCATCTTTAGCATTTAAAAATCACTCTATTAACTCTGAATCCGAACTCCTGCACGTCCTGCAGATCTGAGCCCAGCGCTGGAGGATTTATAAAGAGCTAATACTCTTGTGTTCACGTCACAGCTCAGGGAAAGCATGATGTGTGTTTTGTTTTTGCCGTCTGTGGCAGGTGTTCGTTACTCAGTGTTTCAGAGCGACCGACTTCAGATTTGGAAAACTGCAAACTGGAAACAAAGTACCAAAAACTTTTATTTTTTATGGTTTTAGTGTTAGTTAACAATCAGTTTAGAGCACATAAAACGCTTTAATGACTCGTATTAGCTCTACATCACATGATATTAAACATGTTCAGATTTGCAGGTTTTATACGCTACTGTTCAAAACTTTATAATTAAAAAAACTAAGAAATTAATACTTTTATTCATCAGGGACACATTAATTTGATCAAAAGTGCCAGTAAAGACATTTATAATGTCACAAAAGATTTCTATTTCAAATAAATGCTGATCTTTTGAACTTTCTATTCATCTGTGAATCCTGAAAAATAAAATGTATCACAGTTTCCACAAAAATATTGTGCAGCACGACTGTTTTCAACATTGATAATAATCAGAAATGTTTCTTGAGCAGCAAATCAGCATATTAGAATGATTTCTGAAGATCATGTGACACTGAAGACTGGAGTAATGATGCTGAAAATACAGCTGCGCATCACAGAAATACATTACAGTTTAACAGATATTCACAGAGAAAACAGATATTTTAAACTTTAATAATATTTCACTGTTTTTACTGTATTTCTGATCAAATAAATGCAGCCTTAGTGGTTTCTTTCAAAAACATAAAATTGACTTAAATGATAACTTATGAGTGAAATACATCTCCTCTGATCATTGAGAGATGATGCTGAACAGGTTGATGACGAGCAAACATTCGTCTGTCTGTCTGTCCCTGTCTCTCTCTGTCTATCTGTCCCTGTCTCTCTCTGTCTATCTGTCCCTGTCTCTCTCTGTCTATCTGTCCCTGTCTCTCTCTGTCTATCTGTCCCTGTCTCTCTCTGTCTATCTGTCCCTGTCTCTCTCTGTCTATCTGTCCCTGTCTCTCTCTGTCTATCTGTCCCTGTCTCTCTCTGTCTATCTGTCCCTGTCTCTCTCTGTCTATCTGTCCCTGTCTCTCTCTGTCTATCTGTCCCTGTCTCTCTCTGTCTATCTGTCCCTGTCTCTCTCTGTCTATCTGTCCCTGTCTCTCTCTGTCTATCTGTCCCTGTCTCTCTCTGTCTGTCTGTCTGTCTCTCTCTGTCTGTCTGTCTGTCTCTGTCTCTCAGTCTGTCCCTGTCTCTCTCTGTCTGTCTGTCTGTCCCTGTCTCTCTCTGTCTGTCCCTGTCTCTCTCTGTCTGTCTGTCTGTCTCTGTCTCTCAGTCTGTCCGTCTCTGTCTCTGTCTGTCCCTGTCTCTCTCTGTCTGTCTGTCTGTCTGTCTCTGTCTCTCAGTCTGTCCGTCTCTGTCTCTGTCTGTCTGTCTGTCTGTCTGTCTGTCTGTCTGTCTGTCTGTCTGTCTGTCTGTCTGTCTGTCTGTCTGTCTGTCTGTCTGTCTGTCTGTCTGTCTGTCTGTCTGTCTGTCTGTCTGTCTGTCTGTCTGTCTGTCTGTCTGTCTGTCTGTCTGTCTGTCTGTCTGTCTGTCTGTCTGTCTGTCTGTCTCTCTCTCTCTGTCTGTCTGTCTTTTATGTTTGCTCTGTGATGTAAATGTGTTTTTTTCTCATGCTAATGGCTGATGAAAGCGCAGTGTTTCTGATGAATGGCTTTACTCTGCACACCTGCACACATCTAATGGCATTCAGGTGTTCACGTCTCTATTATCCCGCGCGGCTCTTTTGTTTCTGACCTGTAGCTCTGATCAATGAGGGTTAAATGTGTTTTTTCCTCTCTGAACGTTACTGCGCCCAAAATAACCGCAATCAAAGGTGTCGTCTCTTTCAATTGTGTTATTATCGCACGACATTGAATGCATTTCAATGTGCTTCCGGTGCCCGTGTGTGTGTGTGTGTGAGGCATTAATAGTGAGCAGATATTGTGTGTGTGGGTTGAAAAAATGCCTGAGATGACAAAATGCATGTAAAGTTTCAATTCTACACTCTTATCTGCTACTTCTATAGGGAATTCACACACAAACACACAATTTTCCAGTCTTTTCCATAGCAATATGCTGCTCAGTTCAAGCGTGACTGATTATCCGAGACAAAACGCAAATATTCAAGCCATTTTCACTGTGTTTCCGTGGTAACTGACGACAGGCTGCTATTTCAGGGCTTTCGAATCTTAAGATTGAATTTGTGAATGTTTCACTCGGGTGGTTCACAAAAACTTCTTCTTTAGGAGTGAAAGTGATGTACTTCAGAATATTTTTGTGGAGAGTTAAAAAAATCACAGATCATTACTAAAGAAACTGCAAGACGTTGAATTAAATGTGAACTTTTGAAGTAGAAAGCTGTGGAAAGACTGAAAAGGTGCCTCCAATAATCTAATTTTTTACACTGTAACTGAAATAAGTTTAAGTACTAAAATTTCACTAAAACTGAAATACCAAAATAATGAAAGCTAAATAGAAACATTTAAAAAACTAAGAAAAATGCTAAAGTTTTCTGGCAATTTAAATAAAGCAGAACAATATAAATATTAGATGAAAAACTTTAAAAAATGAAAAAAAAATGGAAACGTTGCCTTGGCAACTACACAAAAAAAATTTGGTGTAGGATTTACTTTGACACAATTTTCACGCAGAAACTGCTTGTAAATTTCACAAATAATTACAAAAAACGCATTAAATTAAACATGACATTTCGAAGAAGAAAGACTGAAGAGCTACTCCAAAAGCCTTTGTTTTAAAACCTTCAAAAAAAAAAAACATTTTTTTACAGTGTAACTGAAGTTTAAGTTAGTTTCTAAAATAAACTTAACTAGTAAAACTTAAAATATAAAAACACAGTAAAATGCATCGAATTAAATGTGAAATTGGGAAGTAGAAACACAGAAATACTATTTTCTTCTAGAACACACTCCAATAATCTTTATTTTGTTTACAACTGTACAAAAACAGTGAAATCCAGGATAAAACGTTTCTGCAAATAATCCAGAGCGTTTCCTCATCTGAGCTCATCATCTGGACTCTGAGCTTGGAAATTCTTTCCTAATATCTCTGTCTGCACATTGATTAGTTTCCCATCCAAGTATTATTGGGTGATCATCAGGGAACAGTCATTAATGTGCCACGTGTCCTCATGACGTAATTCTGATATAATTAACAGGACAGTGACTCACATCACTGATTTTACTCAGTGCAATATATGTATATTTACTCAGAAATATAACTATTATAATTAAATTATATATTATACACTAGATATTATAAATACATAAAGATAAATTAAATATAATATAGATTAAATATTGAAAATATAAATTAGTAATTAATATTAAATTGCGTTAATGGGTTTTTAATACGTGAAAAAAATACATTTTACAATAAATTCTTTATGAAAAGAAATATAAATCCTGAGACACAAACGCCAATGTTTCCTGATGCATCTGCTGATGTGAGACGCACAAGCCTTGTGCACGTATAAAAGCAAAACTGTGCAGATCTGGACCTTCCTCATGCCTCAGAAACACTTTACATGTGAGAGACACACGAGAGAGCGACTGCAGAGCTGAAGTGCTGCTGAAGACGGACGGATCAGAAGATAATCCTCCGTTTGGTCAGGAATCACGCTGAGAGGGTCGCCGCTCAAGAACATCTGTTTATCTACAGAAACCCAGCCCGCTTTAATGAGTCCCACTCACGTCATTTCTGTGAGCAGCTCCAGCAAAATAACCACATCTTTACATTTCCAATAGAAAAGGTGAGTGATGTTTGCCCAATGCAAAACTTTCTGAGCCGGCTCTAATAAGTTACGGTTCCATATATATATCAATGATGTAATGATCAACCGGCTGCCATCCGGATCTGGTTTCCCCGGGCAACCTGAAATAAAACTGTCAATCACTGCAAGCAGCTAATTAACTAGAGAGGGGGAGGAGTCTCACTTCAGAGGGAGGCGGGTGCTGTGGATTTGATTGACAGCTTGACATCAGAGCCTTCCGCAGAATGGAAATGTGAGGTCAGGATGAGAGATAATGATGTGCTCATTTTTAGACTCGCCATTGAAAGTTTCGGTTGAGCACACACACACACACACACACTTATACTGAAAAACGGCTTCGGTTTTCGTCAACCCTGAACCTTTTTATTGTAGAAAGCCACAAACGTATGATATAGAGAGAGATACGGGAGCAGAGGTCGCACGTGATTGACGTGAGCCGCTATTCAGAGAGAGGAGAGAAAGCAAAGCGCTGGATTCTGACATTTCTCACAGCACACGAATCAGTCGGTTCATCAGAAGAGACTGACGGGACACGAGGCGTTCAGACGCATCCGGGTCAGAGCATCGACAGTTCATTTGATATAAAACAGCGGCTAACACCTCAGACAGACCACTGGCCGTCTGATGTACTGCACACACACACACAAGAGCTCTCGCAAAACAACCAGATCCAGCCACTGCATTCCTCACAAGAAATATTCACTGTACTCTTCTTTCACTTTCAAACTTAGTGTGTGTTTTGTACAAACACATGTTGTCTTTTGTGTAGATAACAGTGTTATTATAGCATCATTATCAGCTTTTATTAATATTTTGAATTAGGTTTTGTTTTTATATTTTAATTTTAGTTACATTTTTAGTCATTCAATGACTTGATGAGATTAAAAAAAAAAAAGTCTATAATTTTTATTAATTTTAATTTCAGTTATAGTTTTAGTTATTGTAGTACATCAAGTTAAACTAAACAAAAATAGAAAATGTTGCCTTGGCAACTAACTAAAATAAAATAAGTTTTAAGTTTTATTTATAGTCGTATTTATTGTAATTTTTTTTAGTTAACTGATAATGCTTGTTATAATTATGGTTTTTATTTACATTTTATAGTAACAAGATTATCTATGGTTTTAGTTCTAATCTTTACATAAATCCTTTATTATTATATCATCTTATCTCTATCAATATTATTATTATTATTATTATTATTAATGTTGTTTTGTGTACTGGGAGCTTCACTAAGAGAAATCTGTTGAGCATTTTTTTATTTAATTTTTTTATATAAAATTAAAAACTGTTTTTATAGTATTTGTTTATAGTAGCAACATTTTCTATGGTTTTAGTTAACTATAATAATCTTTTAATCTTTAAATAAATCCTTTATTATTATATCATCTTATCTCTATCATTATTATTATTGTTATCAATAATAATAATAATTTAGTTTTGTTTACTGGGAGCTTCACTAAAAGAAATCTGTTGAGCATTTTTATTTTATTTTTCGTTTTTTTATTTTATTTTATATAAAATGTAAAAAAAATGTTTTATAGTATTTGTTTATATTAACAACATTTTTTATGGTTTTGGTTTTAGTTAACTATAACAGCCCTGCTCCATACATTATTTTTATATATTGGTTATTATATATTATTATATTGTCATTATTATTATTGTTATTATTAATGTTGTTTTGTGTACTATAAGTTTTACCAAGACAAATCTGTTGTGTGTGTGTAAGCCAGTAAAGCTCATTCTGATTCTGATTTTTTTCAAGGACTACTGGTATGGTATTTAATATTTTAAATGCCCCCTTTTCTGAACTATGGTGCTTTAATTTTTTTAATTGTATTATTATTATTGTTATTTTTTAACCTCATCCCGCCTCCATCCCAAAGAGCTGATGCTTTCTATGCAATGAAAGGCTGATAAACAAAATATGTTCATTCTTTGTGCTTTTATAATGACATTAGCATAAGCTCCGCCCCTTACCTGAGCTTGCCCTCTGACTGCACCTCATGGGGCGGATCCTGACATCGCAGCCGAGACTCCGCCTCCAACAGGTACACGAACACACACTCCTGCAAAACACCAGCGAGAACAACAGCTGAGTCCTTAGAGTCGTGTCAGGCACTGGATTATGTGCGGTCAGAAACACGAGCACCTGTCGAGAGCTGGGACCCGTCCGCAGTCTCTCAGCCTGTCATTCTGGCCTCCGTGAGGTTAATCAATGCAAAGTACCTTCGTCACGCCACAGGCTTCGTTAATCGCCGTGCTGACAGAGCGGCGCAACCCTAATTAGACTCCGTTACCGTGGCGATCGGATCCTGCGGGGGGACCGGATTGGTCCTGATAATTTGTCAGAAATGTCAAGGGAAGTTTTCGACATGATTCCTTGACTTCTGTTCAGCTCTGTTATAAACCCTAGTGAGCTTCTCGCTGTCTACTTAGGCAGCTGTCTTGTAAGGCAGCATGTGAAAGGAACCTAATAAGTGATGCTGAACAAAAACGACTTCGTGTGAAGCGAACGTGACTCTATTTAATGTGATGCAAAGCCATAATCACGCATAAAATGATACAATCATCTATTTTTAATTAAACTACTATTTATCCATCATTTTCAGGAAATGAATTCAATATATAATCGATATTTATTTCATCTAGTCCACTTTCTTCATTTTTTCCTTTCTTTGAGTTGAGTTAAAGGGATTGTTCATCATTTACTCACCCTCGTGTTGTTTGCTTCAAACCTGTGTGAACATAAAGAAAGATTTTTTTGCAAGATGGTTGACGGTAGCCATTGACTTCCATAGTGTTTTTTTCTCTACTATGGAAGTCAATGGCTACCAGCAGGCTGTTGTTCTTTAAAATATCTTCTTTTGTGTTCAACAGAAGAAAGAAATTCACACAGGTTTTGGAGAGTAAATGAAGACAGAGTTTTCAGTTTCGGGTGAACTATCCTTGCATTCTGGGATTGTGTTTTCTGCTAAAGATAGCCTGCTTGTGATGTGCTTTGGGTAGCATATAGCCTAACTGATGGGCTGGAGTGCTGTGGATTACTTGTGGATTATTGTGATGTTTTTATCAGCTGTTTGGACTCTCATTCTGACGGCACCCATTCACTGCAGAGCATCCATTGCTGAGACACTGATGCAGTGCTACATTTCTACAAACCTGATGAAGAAACAAACTCATCCTGATCTCGGATGACTTGAGAGTGAACAGATTTTCAGCACATTTTCATCAACTAGGCTGAACTATTCCTTTAATATGCCACATTCGAATGTATGAATTAGATTTGCTGCGGTGGAGAAAATCAGCGAATAACTGAAACGCAAATCTACTTTATATTTTAAACTATTTTCTTTCAGAGCGTTCGGCAGAGAGCTTGTTTTGTATGATAAACAAACTTGGAGCAGACATTTGCCGGAATGCTATTTCTGCAGAGGATCACAAATCTGCAGAAATAAATCGGGATAATTCAGAACATGAAACAGAAAGAGCCGCTGAGATCAAACACGCTGAAGCCGTTAACGTGCTCGAACGCTCATGCTCTATATTACTGATCCAACTTCATTTATTTATGAATATTAAAGACATAACAGGTCATTAACTACATTAAATTATGCTTCAATGACACATGAAAAATGTCATAAATACAGCATTAAATATGAAATAGAACTGCGAGATGACTGAGTGTGTGTGATGCTGTCAGCTCCTGTCTGAGGCGTCCTTGAGTGCGTATCGCTGTTGGAAAAATAATCAATAAAAGAAACAGCACTCAGATATGACTGGGTCAATGTGTGTGTGTGTGTGTGTGTGTGTGTGTGTGTGTGTGTATGTGTTTTTTCGGCACTCAAAACACTCCTGAGACTCCAGCAAATGTAACATCAATAAACCCTTCTAGAATACATTTTCCTCTCTCTCTCTGAAAAGACGCTCAGAATGCTGATGAAGTCTGGAGCGGCGAAACCTCCGGGTGAATCCGAATGAGATCTGATCCTGCCGTTTCACCGTACGCACACCCAACATCTGAATGTGATCAGACGGAGCTGAATGATTTCTCCACTGTGAAATCAAATGATCATGTGCTTCCCGTCGGTTCGTATTCCACGCACAAACTCTTATTGAACGCAGAGAGAAAACCCAGCCTGGAAAGCGTTTCATTGACCTGGAGGGAGATGTTGATTTCGTAGAAGGGCGAAGGGTGTGTTGAACATAGAAAATATACTTTTTGAAAACTGAAAAACTAGATATCAAATCAATCAGCAGAATGAAGTTTGAAGCCGACTCAGTGTTTGTTTCGTACACTGACGGTCGATACAATACTAACGTGATAAATATTTGAGTAAAAACTATGAAGAGTCTGTATATTGCACTGATGAATCGTTTGCATGATGAATAACTCACAATAATAGCAGAAACATACTGTATATCGAGTCCATTTGGATTTCATGTTGACGGTTCATCAGGTGTTGCATGCATTCAGGCTTTTAATTTTTGAAATGTGCATATTTTAATATTGGACATACTATGGAATTGTATTCTGCCACAGAATAAAAAAAAAAAATAATAATAATAAAAATATCTTTTTTCTTGCAATCCTGAGTTTTCATCTCTTCTTTGAGTTCTGTTTTTTGTTTCTGCTACAAAATAAAAAAGGTAATTGCAACTTTTTATCTCACAATTATGACTTTTTTTTCCCTAAGAATTGCAAGAATTGTGAGATAAAAACTTACAATTGCCTTTATTATATTTTTCATTTTTTCAAATGGTTGAAATAAGCTTCCATAACATACACTAGCATTAAACACTTTGGGTTTAGAGAGATTTTTTTTTTTATTCCTCGAGGACGCATTTAATGTATCAACAGTGACAGTAAAGACATTTATAATGTTGCAGTAGATTTCGGTTTTAAATAAATGCTGTTCTTTTGAACTTTCTGTTCATCTGTGAATCCTGAAAAATAAAATGTATCACAGTTTCCACAAAAATATTGTGCGGCACAACTGTTTTCAACATTGATAATAATCAGAAATGTTTCTTGAGCAGCAGATCAGCATATTAGAATGATTTCTGAAGATCACGTGACACTGAAGACTGGAGTAATGATGCTGAAAATACAGCTGCGCATCACAGAAATACATTACAGTTTAACAGATATTCACATAGAAAACAGCTGTTTTAAAATGTAATATTATTTCATAATTTGTACTGTATTTCTGAGCAAATAAATGCAGCCCTAGTGAACAGAATAGACTTGTGTGTGCGTGCGTGAGTGTGTGTGTGTGTGTGTGCGTGCGTGCGTGCGTGTGGCGTGTGTGTGTGTGTGTGAGAGTGTTTTTGTGTGTGTGTGTGTGTGTGTGTGTGTGTGTGTGTGTTTCATACCATGTCTGGCAGGACGACTCTGAGCACATCTTTGATGGTCGTCTGAAGGCTGTTGACGTCAACAATGGAGGCCAACTGCAGCAATGCATCCTGGGAAAATAAAAACACAGTCACAGATAAATAAACAAACAAATAAATAAATAAATCATTTATATTGTCAGCACACCATCCGAAGGGTCAAAGGTTAATGAATCCTCTGGAAATATAACTATGACGAGTTTAACCCCGAGCTTCCGGAAATGTCACGCCATTAAGGAAATTAATGTTGTCGTCTCCCGTTTTCTGTCTTTGAAGCTTCTGGCACATGGATGATCACTCATCTCTCGTTGAAGCTGTTAGGGGGGTTTGACCTTTGACCCCCAGCACGCTGACCTCGTCAGCACGGCTCATTAGCGCATCCACTTAACCTGGGAAATCAATAACGGGAAGAGCCATTAACCAGCGACGGGAGCGAGACACAGAGAGAGAAATGCTTTTAGCAAATAACCATCGAATGCATCAGTGGGTTCAATGTTGCGAACTAATTAACTAAAGTTAACGATGCTACAGACTTGACAGTCATCCAGGCATTACTGTAACTCTTCCTGTAATGTTAATTGTTTCCAAAAAGTGGCCTCAGATCACATCAGATTCATTTCAGCAAATCAGTTGCTATATTTTATTTTAAACTAAATGACTCACAGATTCATTTGAATCTACTCGACTCACAAATGATTCAAACTGAGTTTGTTGTCAAGCACAAACATACACAGCACACACTAACATTAGTGAAAAACAGCCCTTTTTAAATGACATCAAACAACTTTGATTATTTTCAATATTTAGTTTGATATGTCTGGTATGTTTAAATTTAGTTTAAGTTTATTTTTGATCAACCAGTGTTGTTATTGTTAACTATTACAGATTAAAAGAAACAAACTAAAATAATTTTGAAAAAAAATATGATGAAAAACACTCGGATGATCTTCATGTTTGGAGTCAGATACTGAAAATTATAAAACCAGATATGCAAAGATAGATTAGGTTATTTATTTAAACAGATATTGCTAAACAGACTAGATTAATTAGTTACTTTGTATTAGTAGCTTGTAGAGTAGTTAACTGCAGTTTGAGTTTAGTTCAACTAGTTTAAATTACGAGGAGCTTGTAGAAGGTTTATTATCATAAACTAAAACTAAAACCATAAAACATTTTTATTACATGAAATAAAATAAAATAAATGTTATCTGAAAAAATTTTTTTTTAAGTCTTTTTTTTTACTTTAACTTGAAGCACTAGAATAACTAAAATAAATAATGTTTTTTATAAATAAATATATAATAAATTATTTAAAATTTATTTCTAAATAAATAAAAACATAACTAAAAGTAAATAAACTACAATGAATAAATAAAAACGATATAGTCATAGTCATATTTATTAAAATAATAATAATAATAATCAAAAAAACTACTAAATTACTAAACGTTTAATTAAATTTAAATTGAAAATAGGAAACAAAACTAAAATCTAGTTTAAAATATGAACAAAAACCAGTGGTGGACAGTAACGGAGTAGTTTTACTTCGTTACTGTACTTAAGTACATTTTTCAAGTATCTGTACTTTACTGGAGTAGTTTTATTTTGAGTAACTTTTACTTTTACTTCACTACATTCCAAAGCATAAGATCGTACTTTTTACTTCACTACATTTCATAAAACATATCGTTACTCCTTATAATATATCACGTGCTCCGAGACGCAGAAGCAGTGTCTGATTCAAGAACGAACTGATTATTTTCAATGAACCTTTTAAATCGGTTCGCAAATCGCACCAAACGATTCATTGACGAATGAGAATGAACCGATTGCTGCTCCGAGACGCAGAAGCGGTGTCTGATTCAAGAACGAACTGATTCTTTTCAATTAACCTTTTAAATCGGTTCGCAAATCGCACCAAACGATTCATTGACGAATGAGAATGAACCGATTGCAGCTGTTCTTGAGTCGACAACTCACTGATTCAAATGAACTGTTTAGAGCGAGTCTCCAGTGAACTGAATTCACAAGAAAGAACCGCGCATGCGACTGATGCTGCTAAAAGTAAGTTACTAATGTCGAATTTTAGTGATTGAATGCAGGCACATCAACATCTGTGTCTCTGTTTTAGGTTTAAAAAAAAAAAAGAAATATTAAAATAACACAGACTAAATAAAATAATTCATGCGCGTTCATATTCCCCGCTGCCGTAACGTTAACAGTTTTATTAAAATGCTACGGAGTAATATTTTATTATACGTATCTGTACTTTTACTCAGGTACTTGATTAGTGTACTTCGTCCACCACTGACAAAAACTATAATAGTATATCAATGATACTAAATAAAACTGGCTTGTAATTTAAAAAACTTCAGTTTTGAAAGCAGTTTCATGAGAAGTGGATGGATGGATGGATGGATGGATGGATGGATGGATGGATGGATAGATGGAGGATGGATGGATGGGTGATGGAGGGATGGATGGATGGAGGGGGAATGGATGGAGGATGGATGGATGGATGGATGGATGGATGGATGGAGGACGGATGATGGATGGATGGATGGAGGGATGGATGGATGGATGGATGGATGGAGGAATGGATGGAGGATGGATGGATGGATGGATGGAGGACGGATGATGGATGGATGGATGGAGGATGGATGGATGGAGGGAGGACGGATGGATGGATGATGGATGGACGGAGGGATGGATGGATGGATGGAGGATGGAGGGATGGACGGATGGATGGATGGATGGATGGATGGATGGATGGAGGACGGATGGATGGATGGATGGATGGAGGACGGAGGGATGGATGGATGGATGGATGGATGAATGGATGGATGGATGGATGGATGGAGGACGGAGGGATGGATGGATGGATGGATGGATGAATGGATGGATGGATGGATGGATGGAGGACGGAGGGATGGATGGATGGATGGATGGATGAATGGATGGATGGATGGATGGATGGAGGACGGAGGGATGGATGGATGGATGGATGGATGAATGGATGGATGGATGGATGGATGGAGGACGGAGGGATGGATGGATGGATGGATGGATGAATGGATGGATGGATGGATGGATGGAGGACGGAGGGATGGATGGATGGATGGATGGATGAATGGATGGATGGATGGATGGATGGAGGACGGAGGGATGGATGGATGGATGGATGGATGAATGGATGGATGGATGGATGGATGGAGGACGGAGGGATGGATGGATGGATGGATGGATGGAGGACGGATGGAGCAGGTGGAGGACGGCCTCTTTAAACTGCTCATCTCTCCATCTCTGAACTGATGAAAGGAAAACTGCACTCAACCAATTAGTCAGTCAGCATTCTGTGTGTGTGTGTGTGTGTTGGCTTTACTACAGACAGTTTTTAAAGATAATTACAAATAATTATCGCCAATTATGTTCAGAACATTCCAAAAAAAGAAAATGAGTTTGAACTCAACATCAAAAATCTCAATTAGGACAAAAATGTTCATAAGAACAGGGGAAGAGAAGGAGAGAGATTTTCAGATGCAGGTGCTTCATTCTGCCGCTATCCTCCTCTTCCTCTCTCAAATGGTCTAAATCCCTCTCAACAAACACACACACACACACTCGAGTGGAGAGGCGAGTTGAAGCAGAGACGCTTCCCTGCAGTTTCTCTCTCTTGTTGGATCATCGTTGATGGAAAAGGCAGGGATCAATCCCGCAGCGCTGATCCCACTTTCAATTGTCTGAAGAGGGAATAGTAGAGAGCTTTGTAAAACACACACACACACACACAAACTCGAGCCAGTTCACACTCATGTTCATATGTCGCCTGCAGACGACTGGTCAACTACTGTCATCTTTCTCATGTTCACTGAACGTCTGATTCATATCAAACACAAACTCACATCAGCAATGCAATATAATACC